GGGCAACTTGGCGAGACCTCATCTCTACAATAAATCAAAAGAAAATTAGCCGTGCATGGTAGCGCACACCTGTAGTTCCAGCTACTTGGAAGGCTAAGGCGGAAGGATCGCCGGAGCCCAGCAGGTTGAGGCTGTGGTTGCCGGGAGCGGCCACTGCACTCCAGTCTGGGCGACAGAGTGAGACTCCAACTCAAAAAATTAAAAAATAAAATAAAATAAAAAGGAAATTAGATGCAAAGATAAATATTTCTGCAAAACTGCCAAAGCTGTAGTTGCTGGCCGTGCTCTTACAAAACCAAAATGGGGAACCCATGCTTGGCTGTTCATGGATGCCACCCACTTATCACACCATAGCAAGAAACATTGCCAAGCCATGACACCACTGCTCATCTCTCAATGTGTCCTCACTTCTAGGTTCTTCTGGCTCCATGTAAATGTACATCCAGCCTTGGAACCTGGGCTATCTGTGCCAAGAGTCTCTTTCTATGTCTCCCAGAGAGATGATGGTGTAAAAAGAGAATGCTGTCATGTCAAAGGGCTGTGCAAAATCTAATCAAAGGAAGAGCATTGTAGGCTCAAAGATGTGTCCATTCTTGGAGCATCTGAGTGTTGTGTAAAAAGACCAAATGTGAGAGGCAAGAAATCAATGGGCTCATGTGGTCTTGGTGCTAAACAGGGATTTTCCACACCCTCCGGGTTGCATAATGGACTTCCATCGATTTGGCCTCAGGTTCTGCCTCTAGAGTGGCAAAATGGCCATCTCTTGCTCCGTTGTTTTAGGTTTAAGTTTCCACACTGTCTCCAAAGTCAACCTTTGAATACAAGAAAAGGAGAAAAGGTTCTTGAGGACGCGGGTGCATTGTGACTTGTTTTTATTGTAAGTTGCTGAGCATCAGCAGGCACAGGGAGAAGCTGGGTGTACTTGGCAGTCTCTTATTGTTCCTGGATGCTCAGACTCCCAGGGGTAGCATTACCATGTCAGCGATCACAGTGAGCGTCTGGTAAATGAGTCTCAGCTAGCCTCGTGGGACACACAGCATTGGAGAGAAACAAAGCCTGCCTCTGATTCAGCATTGGTGCAGCTGCAAGAATTTTTTCCAAAATGGAAAGGAGCAACACCATGATTGACCGTGGCCTTTTGGCTCCTGGGTCAGCAAAGGATGGCCTGCACCTGCTCTTGTGTATTCCAATGGGCTGTGATAATTAGGTAGACCTCATGGAGTCTGACACGTAGAATCGCCTGTCAATAATAGTCAACCCAATGTCATATTTTAGAAGTTCTATCAGGAAGACAACCTCAGAATCAAACATGAATTTATGTAGATACCAGATATATTAAAAGGCAGGACAGAAGTTATACTTTACAGCAAAAAAGAAAGAGACATGAGCCCATGGCTTTTTAAAATTTCCATGAGGACATTTTTTTAGGGCAGTAAATACTTGAGGCCTCATGGAAAAGAATTTACAATGCACTCTGTGTGTTTATTATTCATTATTTAGTGAGCATTGTGAAGTCGATTTTGTTCAAGATACGGATGAAGATGTGGAGCTTATTCAGGGGATTTCTGATTTAAAATGGGTAAACCAATTCATACACAAATACATCATGCATAAGATTCAATACCTGAAAATGGCTTAAATAACAGAGTGTCTCTGTGTGGTTCTTTGGGGGGCTGACAGACAGAGCCTTCGGTTTTCAGAACTTGGAAAATGATTTGCAGGAAGGGGAAGAAAGTTAAGCATAAGGATATTGTACAAGAACATGTAAGTAGGAATAATAAAATAGAAGAAAGGATGTTTTAGGCCAGGCGCAGTGGCTCAGCCTGTAATCCCAGCACTTTGGGAGACTGAGGTGAGAGGATAGCCTGAGCCTGGGGGTTCGAGACCAGCCTGGGGAATTTGGTGAGACCTCGTCTCTATAACAAACTACAAAAACTACCCAGGCATGGTGACGCGTGCCTGTAGTTCCAACTACTTGGAAGGCTGAGATGGAAGGATCGCCTGAGCCCAACAGGTCAAGGCTGTGGTGACTGTGAGCATGCCACTGCACTCCAGCCTGGGCAAGAGTGAGACACCAACTCAAAAACAAAAAAAGAAGAAAAGATTTTTTTTCAGCTTGCAAGCAACAATAGTAACAACTGTGGAAGAATCATAGTCATAGCAGTTAGGCAGGGCTGCCTCTGGCCTGCAGGGGGCCAATGCTGGATGTTCCCCTTGAAATCCACTCTCTCCACCTTGGCTGGGCCCTGGAGGAGAATCTCTCCCATGGCTGCCCAGTTGGGTTCAGCCAATGGGAGGCAACAGTCAAAGGCCAGGAGGAGGGACTAGAGGGGTCAGGGCATCCTTTCCCTGACTCCTGCCCTGACAGGACTTTGGCAGTTGTTGTGTCAGTTGTCTCTGACGTTTCAGTTCCTGGTCATTCTAGTAACAGCTTCCTCCCCTCTTATCCTCTGTGGCCCCTTCCCCTGTGGCCAGCCCCAGAATGCTTCACCTCTCTGTGCTGCCTTCCCTTTAATCTGTTCACACCTTGATAAACAGTCTCTTCTTTAAAATCTCTTTCTTACCCCTTGAGTGTTACCAGGACACAGACAAATATAACACCTTTGTAGGAATTAGAGAGAGGCATCCAGATGGGTACATCGGGGTTCATTATGTTATTATCTCTGCTTTTATTTATATGGAGGTTTTCTAAAATAAAAAGGTTACCAAAAAGAAAAGAAAAAGTCACGACTTTTGGTGAATGGTGCCCTGCAGGGCCCAGCAGGGCATGGCTTGGTGACCACAGAAACAAGGCTGGATTTTCACAGCCAGTTCGCACTGGCTTGGTGCAGTGCACGAAATGCCCGACCAAACCCAGCAACCCTGCAGATACTCAAATACTCAAAAATTTTGCAAATACTCAAAAGCTGGTAAACAGCTTGAGGAGAAGGTGAGATGAAGCCTGGATCTTTAAGGATATTTGTTGGGACTTAAGTGGAAAAGTGCATTACAGACAAGGAAACCCTGTGAGACAGACAAGCGTAAGATGAATATAGGGTCGGTTCTGTAAGACAAAGAGAGTCCCTTGAGGGAGTAGAGCAACGTTAGAAGTTAGACGTTGAGGGAACTACACTTGACTTACTAAGCTAGACAGTGTGAATCATAGTTTATGATCCACCTGGCAATATGGGGCGGTATTTGGGCTGGTCATGGTTTTGCCATCTATCAACTCCATGACTTGACATCATTGCTTTTCCTCACTAAGCCTCAGTTTTCTGTTTCATAAAACAGGGATAGAATGATATCTATCTAGTAGATCTGGTGGTGGGCTGAATTTAAAAATGCAACTCAAGTGCTTAGCACAGTGACTAGCTATAATAAATAACTTTATAATACAAACTGTTGAGGATAATAATAGTCCATGAGCACATTTAGCAAGTGTTCATGGGATATTATTATCCTCAGAAGTTTTTGAACAGTAGAGGGATCTGATGAAAGCAATATTTTATGAAGATTCGTCACAGCATTTGCAGGAAGTTCTCCACAGGAAAGACAGGGGCATGGAAGTCAGTTTGAGGGTGTGGTAGCCCTCTGCATTCTGGGTGGGGGTGGGGGGGAGACATGGGAAATGGGAAAGAAGAAGCAGATATAAGAAGCCTCATGAGAAAGCGAGAGGACTGAAAAATGGCCCAGTCGTGAGAGTAAGGAGTCGGAGAAGGGCTCTAAGCGTGCTCTGAGGTCTTCAGCCTTCACTTGCATAAATACACCTAGGCAACCTAGGACTGACAATATTGACATTATGCTACAAGTAAGGCTGGGCGTGGTGGCTCATACCTGTAATCCCAGCACTTTGGGAGGCCAAGGCAAGATTGCCTGAGCCCAGGGGTTCAAGATCAGACCGGGCAACTAGGTGAGACCTCATCTCTACAATAAACCAAAAAAATCACCGGGCGTGGTTGCGCCTGCCTATAGTTCCTGCTACTTGGAAGACTGAGGCGGAAGAATCACCTGAGCCCAGCAGGTCGACGATGGTGTGGCTGTGAGCGTGCCACTGCCCTCCAGCCTGGGCGACAGAGTGAGAATCTGACTTTTAAAAAATGTGACAAGTAAAAGAAATATTAAGTTTGGAACCATTCGACTTTACCCTTCCGTTTTCCTGAATATCGATAAATCTACCTAATTAGACCCAAGATGTTATAATCAGATAAAAACCCTAACAGACACCTCCAGGAATCATTCTAAAATGTCCCAAAGATGATTTTCTGTTATCCAGAAGATTATTCTTATTAAGATCTGAGGAAGGACCTCCTCCATTGAGAAACAGCATTCTCATACAAAGAGAACTCTCTCAGGTCATCCGCAATGTATGAGTCCCATTCTTACCACCAAAATGAGCAGGACAACTGAGGAAGCTACCAAGCCCTTGACTTGAGTTTTGTGACACTTGGAGTGGAGTGAGGAATGGTTTCTGTAAGTCCCCAGTTAGGCATTTATTTTTAGGTAAGCCTAGCTAAGAATTCAGTGCCATTTAAAAAACTAGTCTGGGCCAGATGCAGTGGCTCACACCTATAATCTTAGCACATTGGGAGGCCAAGGCAGGAGGACTGCTTAAGCCCAGGAGTTCGAGACCAGCCTGGGCAACTTGGCAAGATCTCGTCTCTATAATAAATCAAAATATTAGCCAGGCGTGGTGGTGCGCATCTGAAGTTCCAGCTTCTTGGAAGGCTGAGGTGGAAGAATTGCCTGAGCCCAGCAGGTTGAGGTTGTGGTGGCCCTGAGCGTGCCACTGCACTCCAGCCCAGGTGACAGAGTGAGATTCCGACTCAAAAAAAAAACAACAAAAAAACTAATCTGAAGCCATTTTAGACACATCTCCCTCTGAGAAAATGTATTCCTTATTTTTACTGTTTGGCGTTTTTTTCAGGAATCATGTCCAGTTTTTGCCAGATATGTTGGCTCACTATTAGAGATAACATGATACCTGCTGTATCTGATTTGCTCTCACTCTCTCTGCCTTGCAGATACTTGCCTGAGATCATGAATGATGGGCTGACCAACCAGATCAACAATCCCGAGGTAGACGTGGACATCACACGGCCTGACACTTTCATCAGACAGCAGATCATGGCCCTCCGGGTGATGACCAACAAACTGAAAAATGCCTACAATGGCAATGATGTCAATTTCCAGGACACAAGTAAGAAAATCCTTGCCAGCGTTAGTAACTTCTAGAGTCATAAATGGTTATACCATAAGTTTTCTTCAAGCACCATGTGCCCCTGTCATTTTGTCTCATGCTTCCTCGATCTGTGAAGCTTGCTTGGTCTTTTGGTCAAAGAGCTCTGATTCACAAAACTTAGGATACTATTAAAATCATAACTGGTCTCAAGGAACAGTTTCAGTGGGTGACATTCAGCCCTACCAAAGCTGAAATTCAGTTTCACCTATCAGTCCATCTATTCATAATAAAGCAAAAAAGCATAATTTTTCTCACTTTCTCCTTTCCCCATCAGCATTTACCTCTGCCCCAAACTCCCACCAAAGAAGAATATCCTACAGATTGCTTACACAAGCCCAGGCTAGAATCTTCTTCCATAGGAATCAAGGTCTCGAACAAATTATTCTAATTCTAGAGTCTCAGGCTCCTCTTTATAGAATGAGAAGTATCCCTGCCTAGGAGGATATTGGGAGTCTCATTTGAGGCAATATACAAAGGAGATAAGTGTGTCTATTAGTAAGTTTCGCTGTGTCGTTTCTCTCTCTGTCCAGTTGTACACATACACAAGTCATAAACATTTGTATCTGAAGTATTGAGAGAACTAATAAAATGCTAATGCAGTATTACACAAGACCATTTTATTAAGGATCACAGAAGCAACAGAAGTGATTTGAAAGACTATTAAGTTAGGCCGGGCACAGTGGCTCACGCCTATAGTTGCAGCACTTTGGAAGGCCGAAGCGAGAGGATTGCCTGAGCCCAAGGGTTTGAGACAAGCCTGGCAACTTGACAAGCCCTTGTCTCTACAATAAATCAAAAAATTAGCTAGGCATGGTGGCTCATGCCTGTAGTTCCAGCTACTTAGAAGGCTGAGGTGGAAGGATCTCCTGAGCCCAGCAGGTTGAGGCTGTGGTAGCCATGATCATGCCTCTGCACTCCAGCCTGGGCAGCCAGTGAGACTCTGACTCAAAAAAAAAAAAAAAAGAGAGGAAGGAAGGAAGGAAGGAAGGAAGGAAGGAAGGAAGGAAGGAAGGAAGGAAGGAAGGAAGGAAGACTATTAAGTGAACATTGACATGAAATTCATTATATTAGGGTTTTGTCTGAGTGGTTTCAAGATGCATAACTTCAAAAGCAAGTTTTTGTTGTTGTTGTTGCTTTTTCTAAAGTATTTACAAAGAGAGTTTCCAGGAAAAGGATTCTTAAATATAAGATGTAAAATTGCCAGCAGTTCTGTAATTCGGTCATTGAAGCAAAAGATGGTGCTTATGTCCTTGAATTAATGAAACAGAAAGAAACAAGTCAGATGAAAGATGTCACGTCATCTAAGTCTTGGCCCTCAGCCTGCTGAGTTGTTCCCTGCAGAAAATTTTCTGTGCTTTATTCCTTTTTGAAGAACTCAAAAAATTAATTTTCTAAACACCAGGTCATAACTTGGTGGACTTCCTTGCTATAAAACTTCTCAAAATCATTCCATGATCTCTCTTCCTTTTAGCTAAATCTCTCCTTTCCTCTTCAGAAGAGAATATTACGCAAGGCTATAGCTTTACCCTGGCTGGTACTTAGCCTCATTCTTCTCATTTTATCCATTCTGTCTTCTCCATTTACTAAAATGCTTTATTATCTAAAGAGTAACTATTGGAATGAATAATTCAAGGTATGGAAGAACTCGCTGTTATGGGCCTTGTTGCATCTCCTTTTTTGACCTAAAGAGATTATACACATATCAACCTGCAGAGATCAGGAAATGTCCAGTAGACAAAATCTTGCTCCTTTTCTCCTCAAAAGAAAATGAAATCAATAACAATTAAGAGCATTCCTTAGCTCAAACCCAAGCACCAAATTTGGCCCTCTATTTTAGGCTAGTGTCTGTCATACAAACCATTATCAGATCTTATAGCCATCATCATTCCATTGCTTTTGACATTTTTGTTAAGCTGCCCATCCCACCTCTTAAATGCTTATATTTGTGATTCCTTTTCAGAAAAAAAAAAAAAAAAAATGGGACCATTGTTTTTCCCAGCCAGAATCTCCAGTCATTACTGGCTTCTCACATTTTTAATATTCTAAATCGTTTTAATAATATCTCTGTGAAGGTTGTGTTACTCCGTGTCCATTAAGCCAATGTTCCGAACAATTCCTTTAGCAATTCTGATATCTCTGAATTTAATTAATGGGCATTTTCCCTCTTGTAAAGACCACTAAAGATAAACCAGAGAAAATGTTAAAAACCTAGTATCATGTACTCAAGTGAGCTTATCTGATATTTAGCTGTCCCGTTTTTTAAAAAATATGCTCATTCTCAAATTGCATCTTTCTCATTCAAGAGGATATTAAAAGAGCCTCTACATTGACTTGGCTTTACTTAAGTGGCATCCAACAGCCAAGATGGTGCCCATCTCTCAGGAGAAGCTCAACAGTGTATCACCATTTCAGGCCAGCAAGGAGACGCTTAGGGCTATTGGTTGGAGTCAATTGAGCAAGTGAGAGAAACAGCAAATGTCCTCACAGGCTTTCAGTTTCCGAGACCTTCCAAGAACATCATTCCCCATAACAACTTTATGGAATAGATATTCTTATTCTTATTTTTACAGGTAAGGAAGTGGAGCCTCAGCAAGCCTCTCATTTAAATAAGAAATACCAGATTAAATTCTAGTCTCTTTTGCAGTAGGAGCCATGGTTTTTCTATCAAGCATCATTGACAGCTCAGGGTTTGGTTTCTTCAAGCACTCTGTTGCGTTGCCTTTGCACACTCTTTACAAGATTTACATTATTGCCTGTATGCATTTAGACAAAGAAACTGACAGAAGTTGAGTAACCTGCCCAAGGCACGTTTATTTATTCAATAATCATTTACTGAGTACCCACTGAATGCCAGGGACCATTGAAAGCCTTAGAGATACAGAAGTGAGCAGTACTTACCAAGCCTCTACTCTTGAAAAATGTGCATCCTGTTTAAATTATTGAGGAGAAGACCAGTAAGCAAGCAAATAAATAAAACACTCCCGGGTGGTGATAAATACTTTCACATAGCTTTCATGGAGCTTGATCTGGGACAGAGTTTGTCAAGCAAGAAAAAACCAAGAAGTGAGAAATGGGACCAGGTAAGTCCAAGAAAGCAAGTTGGGCAGGGACAGAAGATGCCTCCCTAGGACGACATACTGTGTGGGCACGTGGGCATCGGTTTCAAGTAAATGGCCAACTTTTTCTGTAAAGGGTTAGATATTAAATATATTAGTCTTTGAAAGCCATACAGTCCCTGTCACAACTACCCCACACTGCTGGTGTAATATCTTAATATGTACATAAATAGGTGTGGCTGGGTTCCAATCAGACTTCATCTTTGGACACCGAAATGTGAATTTCATACATACACTTTTTAACATGTCACAAAATATCATTTTTTATTTGATTTTTTTCAAACACTTCAAAAATATAAAAACTGCCAAGCACAATAGCTCACTCCTATAATCCCAGCTACTCAGGAGGCTGAACTGAAGACAGCTTGAGGCTAGGAGTTCGAGACCATTCTGGGCAACATAGCAAGACCTGTCTCTAAAAAATATTTAAAAACCAGCCCGGCATGATGACGTGTAGTTCCAGATACTCGAGCTAAGCAGGATCACTTGGGCCCTGGAGTTTAATGCTACAGTGAGCTATGATCACACCACTATACTCCAGCCTGGGCAACAGAGCTAGACTCTCTCTTTCTCTCTCCGATTCTCTATTTCTCTCTCTCATCCTAGGGTACAGGGGGTCATGCTGGTTTTTGGTATTTTGAGGGGTGCCCCAAAAAAAGTATACACATTTGAAGTATGACGTTCACTCAAAAGATGGCACTAATCAAATGAATGCTAGTGTCACCATGCTACAGGTAGGACAACCAAAGAAAATGGCAGAAGCAAGGTTGAGTGAATGAACGTCATGCTGCACATTGCTACTGTAATTCAATTCAACTTCAAAAAGTAATACATAGATAATATCTCTTTAAATATGTATACATTTGGGCACCCCATATACAAATATACATATAAATATATGTATTACTTGAATTATGAGCTGTAAAAAAACAAGCAGAGGCCATAGTCTATCAACTTCTGGCTTAGAGGGAGAGGCTGGCTGAGATGAAGTCTACCCTTACTCTTAGGAGGAAAACACAGGTGGCAAAAAGTGCCCAAAAGTTATGATAATCTATGCTTCCTACAGCTATTACTGCTGTTCCTCCGATTTCTAACTTATGGTGCTTGTTTTCTTCTTCTATGTGTTCCTTTAAAAATCCCTTTAAAAGCATGGTATCTCTGGGAACAATGGCACTAAGGTACACAGTGAACAAAGAATGGAATTTCTTAAAGTAATTTAAACGCTAGTCAGAAGAAGCAATATTTGTCTTAGGCCAACAATGGAAGCTGTGCTCTCCCATTGGGTCTGGGGTTCCCACGTTCCTAGGTTGCATATCCATTAATACCATGTTCCAGGCCATGCCATGGTAACTCATGCCTATAATCCCAACACACATTAGGAGGCCTAGGTGGAAGGATTACTTGAGTCGATGAGTTCAAGACCAGCCTGAGCAACACAGTGAGACCTCATCTCTACAAAAAATTAAAATTTAAAAGAATGTTTTAAAAATACTGTGTCTCGAGCCGGGCTGGGTGGCTCAGCCTGTAATCCCGCGCCTTTGGGAGGCTAAGGTGAGTGGATTGCCTGAGCCCACGGGTTCGAGACCTGCCTGGGCAACTTGGCAAGACCTCATCTCTACAATAAATTAAAAAAAAAAAAATGAGCCAGGAGTGGTAGCGCGCACCTGTAGTTCCAGCTACTTGGAAGGCTGAGGCAGAAGGATCGCCGGAGCCCAGCAGGTCAAGGCTGCGGTGGCCAGGAGCGGCCACTTCACTCCAGTCTGGGTGACAGAGTGAGACTCCAACTCAAAAAAAAAAAAAAAATACTGTGTTTCAAACTCCTATTTCTATACAGTCGACCCACCTTCACAAACCTGCCCATCAAAAACAAAGTTGTTGGGGTGGGGTGGGGGAACCGTGAATGTAGAGATTTCCCCTCCCACCACCATGCCCCTATCTACTGGGTTCTTTGTCTCCGCTCTCTCCTAGTCTACGATCTAAAGTTCTTTTTCAATCTCTCCCCACCTAGGTGATGAATCCAGCGGCTCAGGGAGTGGCAGTGGGTGCATGGACGACGTGTGTCCCACGGAGTTTGAGTTTGTCACCACAGAGGCCCCCGCAGTGGATTCCGACCGGAGAGAAGTGGACTCTTCTGCAGCCCAGCGTGGCCACTCCCTGCTCTCATGGTCTCTCGTCTGCATTGTCCTGGCACTGCAGAGACTGCGCAGATAATCCTGGGTTTTTGGTCAGATGAAACTGCATTTTAGCTATCCGAATGGCCAACTCACTTCTTTTTCTTACACTCTTGGACAATGGACCATGCCACAAAAACTTACCGTTTTCTATGGGAAGAGAGCAGTACTGCAATCTGCCTCCCTTTTTGTTTTCCCAAAGAGTACCGGGTGCCAGACTGAACTGCTTCCTCTTTCCTTCAGCTCTCTGTGGGGACCTTGTTTATTCTAGAGAGAATTCTTACTCAAACCTTTCGTACCAGGAGAGTTTCTTACCTTCATTTGCTTTTATGCTGCAGAAGTAAAGGAATCTCACGTTGTGAGTTTTTCCCCCCCGTAAAAAAAAAAAAAAAAAAAAAAAAAAAGGTAGAAAGAAACCAATTTTTCTTGTAAAATCAGGCCAAACCCCAAGACAACTGCATTTTCAACAAAGAAACAAGCAGGAGAGAAAAATAAAGAAACTTGAACTCTGTAAGTTTGGCATTGACAGCCAACTCCCAGGGTAAGCTTTTCTGGGACAAATCAGGTTTACAAAATGCTTATTGGGAGAAAACTTGAAATTTGTTTTAAATGTACTAAAAATATGCTGTTGTCTTGGAGGTATCATCTTACACTCTAACCACACAATATGACATTGATGAGGTACTGATACTAAATTTAGAATCCCATCTTTAATATGAGAACAAAAATAACTACAGCACCTCTCTCTCGCCCTGCCCAATTTCAGTTTCAGTAATGGCATCATTTTTCTTTCTTCCCTTAATGTCTGCCCATTGTCTCCAATTGGCACAGATTTTCCTCTTCATCTTCAATTTCTAGTGGATACCCCCATCAATTCATCCTCCCCCAGGGTCTCAATGGAAAATAATCTTCGATGATACAATCTCTCCTTCTGCCACAGGTTTGACATTAATGAGATGTTTCTGCCCCTGTGCTCATGACCCTCCCAAAGCAAGAGTTCTTTTTTTACTGAATTGATAAACAATTAGATTCATTTGTGAGTTGTCATGTTTCACGATTTACTTTGTATCCGTTGGTTTCTGCATCCCAAGGGCATTCCTTTACAAAATAACTCACAACAACACCAACAACAAAAAAGTCAAGACAAAAAAATATATATATATAGTATTGACATGGAGATTTCTTTCACTTTTTTAGTCTTAGTATGATCATCTATTTTTATATCTATATATATATAAATCACAGATTTTAACCTCTTAATTCCAAGCTCAGGGTTGACACACCTTTGTAACAAAAATGTTTTGTCAACCAGCTCTTCTTGTTTTGTGCCACTCAGAGAAGGGATTCCTCAGTGATCTGTGAGCACCAAGAATCAAGAAAGAGAACTTTTTACGTATCTAACTGTCCATTTTACTAAAAGTTTGCCAGGGCACACCCTTTCCGCACGCGTGTGCATCATCCTGGGTGCTCTAGACGGTATCGAGCTCGTGGGACCAGCCACCGGTGTGCAGGACTTTACTGGTGATGGAAACTGTCTGTGTAAAGAATGTTATCAAAAAAAATCATTGCTTTCATACACAACATCTTTGGCCTAGGATTCTGACTTGGCATGTGGATAAATGACCTAACTCAATAGGCCAATTTAAGGTCACAGCCTAAGCTGCCCTTCAAATGTGCCAAGGCCAGGTCCGGGGATCCCCCTGACAGAGAGAAGCAAAATAAATCAAACTGGGGCTTTATGAATACAGTTGGCTATTCATGCGTTTCTTGGTTTTTTTGATGCATCTAGAGAAGGGACAAGTGATGTGTCAAGCCACCATAGTATGCCAGTCACATTTTAATTAGCTCATTGACAGTATTGACACGTAAAGGGTATTTTTTGATCTCTGTTCTCATCAAAATTAAAATTAGTTACTGATTTAGTCATCACATTTAAGTAGAACACGTGCAGCACAATAGTATTAAGTATATTTGAGCACTTTTGCAAAACAGAAAGTATTTACAAGCATCTATTGCTACTTTATGCCTAATGAAATATAAAATGTAGGATTCTGAGAGACTTCGTGGCATCCTTTCTTTTAAACCTTTACGAAATTAACAATCTAATTCAGTGTGACATACATCTAGAAAACCATCCATTTCACTGCCAAGCCTCGGCTTCCTGTCACTGATGATACATAAGACATCTCTATGAAGGACCAATCGTTTCCATTGTTCATTTCATTGTACGTTCAGAAATCGGTATTGTCTTTCTCCGATAACTAAGGTGCAATACAAATTAAATCAACCTTGATTTTCCAGAATATTTGAGTAATAACTTGTTTTTATGGCTTTAAACTCCAAGTCTTTCCTTTTTAAAAATATTTCTGCATTCTCTTTTATGAAATAGGTCAGGATGCCTTGTTTTTCCTGCCCCCCCAAAAGGTTTTGTGCATGTGTATGAGTACACCTTATATTGATGAATGTGAACCCATGTTCTAAATGCACTAAACACACAGATGATATATAAACGCCTGCTTTCTTTGTTTCAACACCTTCATTATTAATATTATTCATAATGATGACATATAGTGATGCAGATGAGCCGAGCAGAGAGCTGAAATGACTCTCAGTTCATGATGCCACAGTACTAGCACCCTGCATGGATGTGATCAAAATACTATTCAAGTTGTACTTCCTGGTTTTTATCATCATCCTATTATGATTTTCAGACTAATGTAAGTTGGTGATTTTTTTGTCCCTAAAAAAACTCATTTACTTGATTTACCCATTTCAGCAAGTATTTCAGAATCGACCCCCAAAATTAATTTTTCTCATCTCAGCATAGTAATAGGGGGTGAAATGACGCCCCATTATTTTTTATGACATGCCCTCCTTTGCTCTGAGGTCCCTTAAATTCCATAATCATATCATAACTTTTGTTATGAATAGAGAGGAATGGCCTCACTGAAATCAGACACTAGGAATTGGTGGGTGATGCTCATAACTGCAAACACTTAGCTTATTGAAGTGCCTCTATTTACATGTTCTTTAGTTATAATATGTATTTTTCTAACAGAAATACACGTCTGTAACTGGTATATATTATACTTTGTATATGTTATAACAAAAGCTAAACAGAGGCTAAAGTCTTTAGCAGAGAAGAATGAATTGCAAATTGATGAACAAGAGCTCTGTTTTATGGTTCTGTATTAAAGGACAACCATGACAACCTGTCATTTTAACGAAGGCCAAGTTGGTTCTTTGATTATAGGCATCCGAGGAACGTTAGCACCAGAGATCTGACTCCCTTACAGTGATTTACCCAAATAGCATTAAGGAATTTGTATCGCCTGCTTGAAATGTAAGGGATAGAAAATACTATTTTGTCGACCCTGAAAAACACAATTATTCATCACCAAGGAGTAGAAATGACAAAAGTAACAATCTTTAAATCAAACGCATTGAAAATATTATTGGAGGCAGAACCCTGATATTTAATTTAGATTCCCTGCTGCAGACATTAGCCTACTTTAAGTCCTTTGACATCCCATACAGGCTTGGGCTACAGACAGAATACCAACTAAAGTCCCCAAGGAGGAATAAAACTCAGCAAATTTTCGAGTTGTGATTCTTTTATTACCTCTCTTTGCAAAGCTAATTATCAGGCGGTTTGATCAAGGGTAGAAGCGTTAGCAAATGCAAGTTTTGACTTATCCAACACTTGCGGAAATCTCAACTTGTTTTTAGTCACTCACAGTCACTAGCAGGCCTGACTTTTTATTTAAAAAACAAACAAGCTAGCTTTGCCAACAGAAGAGTAAAGGAAGTCATAACTTATCAATTTGCAATGTGTTCCTCCTTGCTGGAGACATTAGCCAGTGTTTCGTTTTAGGCCAACTCATACAAATAGAGTATTGATTTGTACGCATTCTGGAGACTTGCTATGTCATAGTTTGCTACAGCACGGACTCAGCTTAGCATGGGAACATTTTGAACGTCATTCAAAGTTGAGTAGTTTACTGAACTCTTTGACATTGCCTTGTAATGAGGGACTTCTATGAAAAGACACCTGAGGATGGCATACTAGTGAGGTCTCTGTGTGCATATACGTAATATATATGCAGGATAAATGTGTGCACCAATCAAACCTAAAAGTTTATGTGACTGTCAAATGAATATGATTTGAGTTAAGATTTTTTTCATTTCTGATTTGGATAGAAAATTGCTATTAATCTTGTATTAAAATAGTTTTTAAAAATCCACCAGTGCCCTTTCTGCATTTTCTTAATTATTGTCAGTCTAAATTTCAGAGCCTTTGAATTTTTTGGTTTGAGACTTTTTTGAGAAGCTTCAATATTAAAAACAAAAACAAACCCCATAGACTAAACCAGTGCCACTCACCTAAGTACACTCAGCATTTGAAATCAGGAACAGTTAGAATTTTAGAGCATCTAGAGCATCTCAAATGTGTATGGAAAATACTGTCTTTCTTCTTCTGTACTGGTTTCTTTTCAGAGAACAAATTTTTTAGCAGCTTGAGAACTGATGTCAATACTATATAAATGAGGTCAGAAAAGAAGATCAAATGTGAAAAGACTAATAATTTTCAAATTTAGCCAATTGCATTGATTTTTATACTTCTGAAATGTTTTACAGGCTCTCAGGCATGCTAAATATTGTATAGCCTGCTAAAGATTTATTTCACAAATATTTATTGAACTCCTATTCTGTGCAAACCCTGCTCTGAGGGGTGTATCCTGCTATGAAAAACCACCAGTTGAAAATTATTCATTCCTTAATGCAATTAACCATGATTATTACAAATATATCACTTGTTTCAAGAATGCTCTTAGAAATAAAGGAACCCATATAAATAAACATATGAAAAATACAACATTTAACTGTAAGAAATACTATAATTTAACTCACATTATTACTATTTGTTTTTTTTTTCTTTTTTTTTTTGAGAACAGCAACTCTTACAAAACAATTAAGGAATGTTTGATAATTCCATTTGCAAAATCAGAATGTAACAAATTTTTTTTGGAGGTAAGCAGAAGCCAATTTATTAAGAAAGAAAACACATCCAAGCGGTTTTGGAAGCATAAATGAAACCAGATGCTTTTTATCAAGTTACAACAATATTTATTTTATTTTGCTCTTAGGATAAATGGGATGAAATATAGTTAAAACATATGCACAAATATGTGTATCAAAATGACACTGATTTTTAAAATTCAGCTTGTAAAATAGGGGTGGAGTGTTGTTTTGTGTCTCGAGGGTTAGAAAGATATAGCCACAAGTTTAAG